TATACTCTAAACCTCTTCAATACATGCAGGACCCCATAATGGCATGCCTGGTTCCACTGAATTAATCGATGAAACTAAAAAAGAATTAGATGCAAAACGATCAGAATGAAATGACAGGCCTGGTTCCAGACTTCCAGCTACTGCTAACACCTTAAAATAATAAAAATAACTATTGTATCTAGATATGCAAAATGTGATAAGATCAACAAAARAAAAATACTTAATACTCAAAAACACATAATGCCTGTATAATCAAATACCAAAAGTATGGCTCAGGAAGCATCCATTTGCACTTAGAAATTCCATTGTGGAAAAATAACTATTTCTTATTTTATCTCAGAAAATTTGGGGGGACTCAAGTGGAGAGTTCCTGAACCCAAAACCAAAAATTGATCAATAACTTTTTCTTATATTATAGTCTTACTCTTAAACCAAAAACAATACAAAACTAAAATGTTTGGAATGACAGAGGAGAGATTGGAATGACAGAGGAGAGAGGAAATACATGAACGAGAAAGGAGTCTACCGCTGGATAAAGAGAGAGAAAGAGATGAGATAGATAACCACAGGAGAGACTGGGGAGTGTTGTCGGTCGCCGAATAACACTAGAATGACGGAATGATGGTCACCATCGCTATTCGCTAGAGAGAGACGAGAGAAAAGAACTGGAGAGATACCATCGCCGAAGAGAAACACCACAACCGGAGAGAAACCACCGCCAGAAGTACTATCGGAGTTCGAGGAATACCACCACTGGAGAGAAACCTTCTTCTTCGTTCTATTGCCGGAGGGAGCAGTGAAGGCGTACTGGTGTAGAGCGCTAGGTCTTCGAAGAAAATTTGGGAGAGAACTTCAAACAAATGAACGAACCATTTGATTCAAAGGTTTTGTCCATATTCGGTCTGTATTATATATGGACTATTCATGTTTGGACCGGTCTGCATCCATATCATTTTTAGGACCGTCCATATCACTTCCAATTTGGACGGTGTCCAACCCGAAACCGGTCCATTGACACTCCTAGTTGTAGGGAACCCACCCTTGGCATGTATGCAGGTTTCTCCTCATCACTCTATTCATCATCACTAAGCTTGRAAATGAAGGCATTGATTTTCTTTTTGTGGAGTAGTTATTGGTCCAATGCATGTCATTGAAATTGAAACAAAGTGAGTGATGAGTTGTGGGTCTCCTGGTGAACTTGTAATTTCAAGATTTTTGGACTCCTTATGCTTCCTTACTTGTTGGTAATTGTTGGGCTTGTTGAGGTGTACTTGTTTCTCCTAAGTGGCAGTCGACTATTGGTTTCCCCCGCTCAAGCTCATGGTACATGGGTTGGTTGGATTGTGGTCTTCCTCATTAGGTGTCCTTAGATTAACTAGTTGCTTGGCGACGTCCATAATTGTTGCAAGGTCCTTTACCCCACACTATTGAAGCTCAAGCTTATCCCAAGGCTTGAGACCGTCTCGTCCATGAAGTTGAACAAAAGATCATTGTCATACATATCAAAGATTTCAAGCATCAAGGCTGAAAATTCTTTGACATAGTCATGCAACAAGTCCTAATGTCTAAAGTTCTTCTTTCTTCTATACGCTAGGTACTCCACATTTTTAGGGTATAACTATCGCTTAATCTCATGCTTGAAGTCAACTCAGGTGTTAAGGGTGTGTGAGCCACGCTCAATGTCTTGACAACACCTACACCACCACAACATTGCAATATCAATTAAATACATGGCAGTCGTACGTACCTGATTTTTGCCATCCTCGATTCCAGTGGCAAAGAAATATTGATCTAGTTGCCACGAGTTGTCAAGCTCCTAGGAATCTTGAGTACCTGAGTATGGTGTCGATTGGCGTATCTTAATGTGCATAGTTGTTGGGGTAGACGAGGTGCGAGTAGAGTTAGCCATTGCCCTTTTAGGAGAGTTATCTTGTTCCTCATCTCCTCCAGTTGAGCCTGAAATTTATCCAACATGCCTTAAAGGCAAGGTGCCATGGATCTCCCTAGGGGCACTATCCAAATGGCCCTCCTATTCCACCATGGAATTTTTAACTGTCTCCATGTTGATTTGGTGAAGTTCTTCCATTTGATTCCGGATTTCACCCATGTTTGCCTCACAACATAGGACACTCATGTCAATGCTTGCTAGTTAATTGACTAACTTATCCCACTTGCTTCTTTTAGTGGTTCTGCCCTTTGGGGATTGGTCTTTGAGGGGTTCATCGTTCAGTGCCATGTCGGTGTCATGGGATTGGGAAAGCCTAAGTGATATCTCATTGGCGATATCTTAGTTGCTCTTCATTGTGTTTGTGTTAGATGAGGGTCGATCAATATGGTCCAATGTGTTTAAGAGCTCTTGCTCTGATATCAACTGTCATGGGACTGATCATTGAGTTCTCGTKCGGCACCTTCGAGTAAGCTTATGAGACAAAATAACACAAGGCAACATGGTAGCACACAAATTAATAAAGAGGCACTTTATATTATATTGATGTATTAAGTACAAGCACAGAGGTGATGTGTTATGGGGCCCTCTTGTTTAACCTTTACAACTTAGTTCCTTTTTGACTACTTACCTCCTACTAAAGAGGCAATTAAGCTTTTGGGGTTCTAATAGAAGGATTATATGTGTGGGTGAAATAGGGGCTAAAATTGTCATTTATGTTAAAATAACCACTTGTGAAAAAAGTATTTCACCAAATATTCCTACCCCAATAAGTGCTTAAAATACCCAACAAGTGATTTGACAAATAGGTCACCAAACAACATTTTTAGTTGTTAAAATAAGTAATTATTAAAAAAAAAAAAATTGCTTTGGATTCTCCTACCAACAAATATCTGTCCCACACGCTTGGAAATGTCAGAAAATTAATTAATTATAAGGTCAACTAAGAGTAATATAAGGTCAGAAAATTAACGCTCAAAAGAAACGCGTGCTGGGACATTGCTGAAGAGAGACATTTGCTGGCTTCCGACTTGGGTTTCAGATGGCTGAGAGGTTTGGATGGAATTTGTTAGGGTCTGTAGCACAGCTATGTTGCTTAGAGGAAGCCAAAGAAGAAATAAAGAAAGGCATCAACTTCAAAACGACTCAGAGATAACTTCAGTACGTCTAGGCTTGAAAATTTAGGTCCAGTGATTGAACAGTCAAAACAATTGGATGAAGAGTTGGGGGATGGTCCGGCGGAGGATACAGGTACATTGACGGCACACTATGAGAACGGACAAAGGATAATCCAGAAAAGCCAAAGCATCCGCTGCTGGAACTTGTGGAGGAGGTACAAGTATGCAAAGAGGTTGCTTGAATTAAATGAATCTATAAGCCGATTTTTCGAATTGAACAGCTAATTACCAACTCCACCACCACGTCATGAGCGGTTCCCGGACTCTCAGATGCTGTTGTTGGGTTGGAGAAGCCTCTTGAAAAATTGAAGTCGGAGTTGTTTCGAGATGGTGTGAAGATGCTTGGTGTTTGTGCTCCTGGTGGATGTGGCAAGACAACCTCGGTAACACAGCTTTGCCGAGACGAACAAGTCATACGTATGATTATGATCTCTCTCTCTCTGGCCAGGGCTCATTCAGAATTCCGACCCAAAGTTCAGTCTGGACTGGCCTGACCTATCCCAGCCAGAGGACCCAAGGCCTCTCTCTCCTGACAAGGCTCACAACACCGTGAAGCCCATAGAAGATTGTAGCTGTTAGAGGATCAACTGGGATAACATAACTGTAGAATTTGATTCGGCCAAGGTGAAATTTCGCCAACGGTTGGAGAGGACGATGGAGAAAGGCAGAAGTGATATTTTAAAATTCAATTAGGGATAATTTTAGAAGAAAAATATTGAATAAATGCTTACTGTATAAGCACTTTCAAAAACATGAATTGAATCTTGGTCAACATTCTAAAATAAACTTCGCTTGCGTTATTTACCCTCTCAGGCATGATTATTTTTTATCATGTGAACATATATCATGTATGACGTATCCCATGCCTATCTGTAACATAGAAAATAAGCATGTCCAAGAGTAAACTCAAATCACCCGACTTACTGTTCCGGAGACACAATTCCAACGTTTCTTCCTGCAAGAACCCTACAAATGTTTGGTGTTATACATGGTAACCAGTGGGGTTGTTACAACTTACAACACCAACCCTCGTATCGACAGTCTAACGAGGCTGCCATACTTGCCGCGTAGAGGGATCATCTTTCTGTTCATGTTAAGTCCCCTTTGAGCCACCTTAGGACAATATGTCATCCACAATTGATTCCCAGGTGAAATGAATGATTAACTTGAACCAGAAAACATTAAGTGATAAAAAACTCTTCTTTTGCATTACTCTCTGAACATTAACAAGAACAAAGCAAATATACATGACATCCATTGAAGTTCAGGCATAGACAGGACTTGCGTAATGTTTGTTCCAAGAAAAATGGATCAGTGTCAGCATTCAACAACAAAATAATGCAAATAAGTAAATGTAGAGCAATCACATTTTTCAGGTTTACTTTTGGCCTTTTCGCTCCAAAAGGCAAAAGATTTCCCTTGTTCGGATTTATTTAAAATATGCTGATAATTTTGGTTAAATTAAAATTTTAAAGAAAAACAATCAAGTGAAACATGCTGAACTCAGGAACGTGTTGACAGCCTTACTACCGGCAAATAAACAGAAGTTGTTTATCAGTCTCACTTAAAGATAAATGCAAACGAGGGAGAGACAAGGTGCCGTGTATATCAAGAGCTTATTTATTAGCTTTCAGCATAAGCTCTTTAAGAACAGAGTTTGTCTGATGGAACTAAAGAACAGAATTTGTCTCAGTATAGAACCTAGTAAATCCAACTTAGGAAGCTAGCACGTACAAATATAAATATGTACAGTATAAAACCTTGTATGTACATGTACAGTATAAAACCTTGTAATTGCATTGTACATACTTGTATTTGCATTCCTAAAGAACATTCACTCTTAATAGMCATTGAAAGAAAAGTAGGGGAAGAAAAACTGTTCTCAAAAGCAAGCAGATCTGATTCATTGATAAATTAGTACCATTACTTGCATAAGTTTGTATTTTGTAATGAGCAACTTGCCAACAAAACATAAAGGAAAACGAACCTTAATTAACCAGTACAATACATAACTGTATTTTCTAATCACTTACATGTCAATAATGTCAAAATGGAATATTTAGAGTCAATTAATTGATTGACAATCATTCAACGGAACACTCAAGTACACTCTTACGCTTTACTAGCTTTTCTTTAAGCAGTTTCACTTCCTTCTCCAAATCCAATAACCTATTATCAAGACATTGAACCGTTTCAAGATGCTGTTCTAGTGTACCATACCACTGAACCTGGAATTCATTGAGCTGTTGCTCAGCAATTAGACGTTTAAGCTTTTCTTCTTCTTCTCGCTCCAAGCGTAGCTTTTCTAATTCGGTGGAGGTAAGAACATCACCACCTGGCCCACCAACATCCTTGTAAAGTGGTTCCTCAGGTTGAGGAAAGCGTTCTCTATACTCTGCAAATGCTCGGCGAGTTTCCTTCAAGGCCTTCTTATAACCATTTAGTAGATTGTCCATGACATAAAGCTCACGCTCAAGCCGATATATCTCTAGTTGTCCTTTTTGACGTTCATAAATCTTGGAATTCTGCAATTCCTGAATAATGCGCTGCCGATTCTCAAGCTCGGTGATTAAGAATTGCTGATCTACATTAGCATTCATGTAAGCCTGCTCTCTGGCTGCATGCATCATTCTAGCTTTATGAATCAAATTCTGTGCTTGTTCCATACACGTATCAAAATCAAATGACTTGTTATCCCATGGGCCATTGTTCCTCATCCGTTTATGGTGATCACCAAAAGTGTGATGATGTACATCATCCTCGTGACTAATCTCTCTCTTGCATGAATTGCCGAAGATTGATGGGCCACCAGGATGGATGGCAGGATCAGCCCTTGGTGCAAGAAGGTCCCCGGAAGAGTGATCAACAAGGTTAACAGGTGCACCATTATAAACATTTGCTGTCCCCATAGCTTGAATAAGTTCCGTGGAAGATAACTGCTCTAATGTATGGCCTTTCGATGAAAGACCATACCTGTCTTCTTCTTCCATCTCTTTTTCTTCTTTATTTTCACGTTGACACTCTGAAGCCTCAACTTCATTTAGATTACAACGCTGCAAAAAATGCTCGCCATCATTGTTCTTTCCATCCAAAAGCCACTGCCCAGGTTCTTCTTCTCCCTTACATTCTTGGAAATCCGTTAGATCCTCATCTCTGGCCTGCTGCTCAATTTCAATTTTGCCCTGCCCCAGAGTCAATTCTATCTCTTGTTTATCCGATTCTTGGCCCTGAATATCATCCAAATTACACATCTTCATTTCAGCAGCAGCATCTCCCTCCCCTTCCTCCTTTATAAAAACTTCCTCCTTGGCATCTTCCTCTTGCTCCTCTTTGGGATCTATTTCCTCTTTAGGAACATCTTCAAATAGATCCTTCTTCTGAGACTTCATCAAGTACTGCAAATGTGGAGCATAATAACAAAAGGTTAAATCGGAAGCCTGCAGCAACTCTTTCTCTACCATAAACCAGATCAACCCGGCCCAATCAACCTTCTGCGGCTGCCCCTCTCTGATAAGCCGATTCCAGGTCACAATCTCATCCGGCAATATCCAGGTATCCTCATGAAGAATAAACCAATTAGACACGAATTCTTCTATAAACGAAATAGACTCTTCAGACAACACTTCAGGTTCGGATTCAGAAGCTTCTGCAGAGTTTGTCTTATCCTTTTTCCCTGGAAGCTTCAAAGCTCGACCAAGATCAGCCCGGTTCAGCTTGATCCGCGACTCATTCACGAAACTGCAACGCTGTGCAGGATTGTAATTCACGACTAACTGAGCTAGAAGATCGGTTCGAATATCGCAATCCAGTTCAAGGTGAGCAAAGTCCCATAACCCTAGGCGCTTGAGAAGCTTCTCGTGTTTGGAGAAATCTAGGGTTTTGCACGGAGAAAAAGGGATGGGCTTCATATTTTCTTTGAGCGTCTGAAGCTTCTTTTCGAAAGCAGGTCGCTTTCGGTTCTTAAAGGATTTCTTCTTCTTCGGGGCTTTCCGGGAAACATTAGAAGCTGGGTGAGTTGGGTTGTCTTGGACTACGTCTGGGATGGTGATATCCTCCGCCAGAGGAGGAGGAGGAAGAGTAGGAGAGATAGACATACCTTCTGGTTCTTCTTCGTCCTCTTCTTGTCCTCCTTCTCCTTCATGCAGTGGTTGCTGCTCTTCATCGTCTTCTATTTCTTCAAAGTGATCCTTCTCTTTGGACTGGTCTTCCGGGTCTTCGATCTCTTGAATTTCTTGAACCTCTTGATTTTGGTCTTCAGAAGGCCGAGATGGATGATCTTCGACCAATTTAGGGTTTTGGACTTCAGATGGTTGAGCTGGTTCATCTTCGACAGATTTAAGGTTTTGATCTTCTTCAGATGGTTGAGACGGTTCTTCTTCGATCACTTGAGGGTTCTGATCTCCTTCGGGGGATTGAGATTGTCCAACCCCTATGAGATTAGGGCTTTGACTTTCAGATGGTTGGGACGATTCGTCTTCCACCATTTTAGGGTTTTGGACCTCGTCTTCCTCCTGCTGCTGCTCCTGCAGGTCTTCCACTTGTGAGCGAGTACGAGGCCTCCTGTATCTCTTCTTGGTCATGGAGATCGGGATAGGGAGGAGGAAGGGAGGTTTCTTTATAATATTGAGAATGAGAGAATGCCCTTTTTACCCACTCCGCTCTGGCTCGTGGCTCCCTTTGAGAGCACAAGCTGTGGAATTTGGGTTGGGGGGCCAGAGATGGACCAGAGCTTCCTCTCTCTCACTCTTTTAAACTTACAGGATGAGATCGATTCAGATCTCTCCGATATCAGACGTTTAAAAATGCTTCGGTGGCTCTCTCGCTCTTTGGTACAAGGAGAGAAGGGACCATCGGCCGGTGGAAAACACCGCCACGTCACTCATGTTACCACGTGAAGCTTAAGATTCTTTGACACGTCAGTTAGATATATATTATTTAGATAAATAGCAAATTACTACCTTTGCTTGTCAGTTGTCACTTTAGTACCCAAACTTAAATATGTGTCATGAAAACTGTACCATCACAGAAAAAAAGGATTGTTTTCTTTTCTCTTTAACTCTTATCTCTTAAAATCAATCTTACAACTTTAATAGGAATGGGTGTTAGTTTCTCTTATCTATTATCTTTTAAAGTCAAATCTTCGAACTTTTGTTTCTTAATAATACTCCTAAAATACAAATAAAAATTTTTATATATAGGATTAAAATAGATATTTGATAATTTTCAAAATTCATAATTCAGAACAATATTTTCTACTTATAATTCTAAATATAATTATTATATTTTCAGATGTTAGATTTAGAGCAAACAAACAAGTCCTATTGTTGCATTTGCAACTTAGATTTTTGAAAATATCAAAATTACCCTTTTTAATATTTTTATTTTTTAAGACTGATGCGACGCAATTTGGCTGCTCCTAGCTGGAGATAATTTGGCTTCCAGTAGATGACGGAGCTGATTGATCTGCATAGAGAGAATCAGAGAACCCGGGGCTGCTTACCCGGCGAGGTCGCTCCGATGCTTAAGTCAGTAATGTGCGAGCTAAAGGTAATTTAGAAAGCAAGATAGCTAGTAAGCAGTGATTACGCGTACCTTTGCCCCCAAAGGGTTGGGGTCTTTATATATTGGAGTCCTCACGGGTTTTTCGGAGTGGTTCCGGGATTCTTGCCGTGATGAGACCCGTATCCGTATTAGCAGGAGATAACACTGCTAGCCGATAAGGCTTATCGCTTCCGCCCGAATCGGTCAGGGGAGATAAGGGTAGCTGTTATGAGGCGTGATCCCGTAAAGCATGGAATCTGATGGTGTGATCCTCAGGGTTGTCATGCAGAGGTCGATCAATATTGCCCGAGCTAGTGCCCCCTGGATCCGACCTGGTAYGAATGCTGAAGAGCCTTGGAACCGAGGTGATCTTGATGCAATCATGTTCCGAAATGGACTTGTCCCGAGGTAGACTTGTGATAGCTATAAATATAACCCTAGCAAGTGCACTAGTTATCAAGTAGTATAAAAATATCGTTCCCACAAGGATTTAACAAAATAAGTATTAGAACTACAGCCTTCCCTAATTATTTAAACAATCGAATTTCAGATTTAAGAATAATAACTAATAAAAAAACAGAAACAGGAAGACGAGCAGAAGTAACAATGCTGAAGTATGTAACGATTGGTTGAATTCGCCAGGGCTTTCGGTCCACCTAACCATTCCAATGAATATTAATGGATGAGATTATCCAAGATAATTTGTCATTCCCATAAGCTGAATTCTTTCCAATTTTATTTAATATTCTCTCTCGAGATATACTAAAACTACTTCTATCAGGTAACCCCCTCGATCTCTCGACTAGAGTTCTTAAGATAGAAGCGCATTAAGTCCAAGGAAAAACTATTACATTCAGATGAATCATGTGTATATACCCCTATAAACCATTCAATTCACACCATGAATTATGTGGTCAGCTATGTGAATTCCTCTCTCGATTCATTCACATACGCCTGATCAGTTAAGAGATGGTCACTCCTAATAGCATTAAGCAAGATAATTCATAGACTATATGGAAATCACGATCTTGAATAAATCACAATAAAAATATATTCATTGATATGATTAGGCTTTCCACAACCCTAACTACAGATAAATTAGTTCATACTAGCAGAAATAAAACAAACAAGAGGAAAAAAAGAACTCATGGTTTCGCCCTTGGAGTTGAGATCTCCTCTTCTCCTTGCTACCACCTTATTCTTGCAGTCTTCTTGCTTTCTTGACTGATTGCTCCTCTGCTTCTTGATGCCTCTCTAGTCCGCCCCGTACCCCTTTATATAGCTTAATGGGAGGGGGTGGTCTCCTACTCCTTGAAGTTAATCTCTCAAAAATAGAAAGTCCTAATCTAATCCTATACTTATCTCTTTATCTAATGAACTCAATCTCTTTATCTTTATGGGTTACATCATAAATTTATATCTGATAAGACTCTTCTCAGTTTCCTGTTCTTAGATTCGTATTAGACTTCCTCTGCGAATTGGGCTGCTGCCAGGCTTTTCTGCAAGTTGGGCTTAAACTGTGGATTGGGCCTTCCTACGAATTTTCCCCGACTTAGGGCCCAAATTTGACTTTGATGCAGGTCGAATCTGCRAAATCACAAAACATGAAAGTTGTGGATTTTTCTCTTATCTATCCAGTGGATCTTGAATCAACCCAATTGGAGTTCGGATACGCGAGTTACGCCCAGATCACTGAACGGTGCCGAAACTGTGAAAAATCATCCGATTTTCCTTTCTTTGCTCCTGATGCCTTCTTTCATGCCCTGAACCGAAATACAATAAATATGAGAACAATTAAGTACTAATTAAATATGCAAAACAGAATATTTGGGGATAAAAATGTGATAAATTCTACTCTCATCAACTTGCCCCGAGGTAATTCGATTATCCAAGCTCGGTCCGTCGTAGACTTGATACGTCGGGATGAGCTGTCATCCTGTCAGTTAGGTCGTGTCCACATGTCCCCCTATTACTAGGTCGAGCCAAATCACCCTTCATCAATTGCCCCCCACTCCCTGCGCCAGGGGTCCTGACCTGGTGCGGGGAGTTCATGACGAGCCAAGTGGATTTGGTCCGAGGATCAGGTGGTTAGTCAGATGAATCACGAGTCGGACTTGTTCGGCCACCYGGCTCAACTAGGAAAACTTAGGTCGCGTCTGGCTTACGCGCGGACATCACATGATTTATAAACTCCATGAACGTCAAAGAATGCGCTAAACCGATTTTATCCTTGGGGACCGTGCAACCGGATTTCCTAGGAGCCGTTGGATTAATTCGATCTCGACCGTTAGTTCTCGGACATAGCGGCTATAAATAGGGGGGTCTGCGACTCATTCTTCTCGCAACATATTCAGTGATTGAGCTCTCCCGAGGTCACGTCGGAGTCTGCCAGCTCGGTCTTCTTTCTGTTTTTCACATCGTTCTTTCTTTTCAGGGAGTCCCCATTCCTTAGTTGTTTCTTGCTTTCCGATTATGTCGAATTCTAGCATAGATAGGCTTGTAGATAGTGTTAGTGAGGTGGAAGGCGCCGTCATTCCTGTCGGGGAAGTCGACCCACGGCAAGGTGCCTCCCCTCTTCGGTCTTTAGAGGGAACCACTGACCCCGAGGTTGAGCCATCTCGGCTCGGGGATACCAAAATCCAGGAAGTGGGTCCATCCTCCAGGCCAGGGGCCCCAACTTCTTCCCGAGGTCAGAACCCCGATGATTTTGGGCCTTCTAAACTGTCTTCAGACGGACTGTTGTACTTAGTGTCCCGCTATCTTCTCCCCGATAGCTTAGTCTTTAGCATACCCTTAGGTCGGTACCCTTGGACTTATGATCACAATGAGCTCACTGTTTTTGAGGAGCAACTCACGGCAGGGCTGCGCTTTCCACTCCACCCTTTCCTGATAGAAGTAGTTAAGTTCTACAACATCACCATTGACCAGCTTCATCCGAACTCTATTCGGAATATTGTTGGTACTATTTCTTTGTTCCACTCCTACGCCCAACCTCTAACCTAGGATGTCTTTAGCTTGATCTGCGTGATCAAGCGAAACTCGGCCTGTCTGCGCAGGGACGTCAGACAAAGCTATTATATCTCTCCCAGGCCCGAATTCAAAATCTTGCATGGCTGCCCGAACAAGGTTCCGACCTGGAAAGGGCGATACTTCATCGCTCGTAACCCAGAAGGGTGGTCTTTCCTGACCCACTGGAGGGTGGCTACTCAGGACCCCGGGGTGTGCTTGAACGGAGAGACCAAGGCGGTGATCAATTCGTTGAGGGACCTCGGGCTAGAGATGAAAAACTTCTTGGCCGATGACGCACTGGTGCGTGCTGGTTTGAGCCCTCCTAGTAAGTTTCCTTTCGGATATTTGCTTAAAATACCCTTTAAGTTTTTTTACTAACTCTTCATTTTCTGCAATTAGAATGCCAACGGTCGATGCGGAAAGCCTCCCGAGGAGCTCCCAGAAGGGAAAGAAGAGAAGACCACGAAGAGGCCTCACCGAGAAGCCGGGTCTTTAAACTCTGGACCAACTGAGGTCCTGATAGTGGAGCCGATCTCCACCGAGCCCCCCAGGGACAAGGCCCGAGCTGCACACCCCAAGGTGGTCGTAGAGGAGAGCCGCGAGGAGGAAGCTCATCCTCGGGAACCATAGGATGTATCAGCTTCGGAGGGGCCCATTGCCGAGCCAGAGAGTCCTCCCATGAGCGAAGGAGAAAGCATTACGAACCACGTGCTCACGGTGCACAAGAGCCGGGATGCCATCTTTTTGAGTGAAGTCGCGCGATGGGCTGACATGCCTTCGAATCGGCTCTTGGGACTAGCCTCCAGCCACTRCATGGTGGTAAGTATTCGACCTTTAGCTCCACTCTTCTCCCTTTTTTTTACCTTGATTTTCTTTTCATAGGTCAACTCCGCCCTTCAAGCATTGGCCTACCAGTCCGCCATCCACTCAAAAGAGACTCGAGACGCCAAGGTGGAGGTACAAAAGCCCCATCGCGAACAGGACCTAGCTCGAGGTGAGGTACTTCGAGCTAAAAAGGGGACTGAGTGCCAGAAATAGTTGATCCTGAACCAGGAAGGACGGATCTCCACGCTGATAGAGGAGAATGCAAAATAGAAGGAGCTTATCTCAACAATGACCAAGGAGAAGGAACGACTTCAACGAGAAGTCGAAAACCTTGAAGAAATGGTCCAGGAACAAACTCAGATCTTCG